AGCACCCTGAATTTTGTCTAGGATGATATGAAAAACGCTAAGGAAAGGCCAGAGTTTAAGCAAAGGTGTTGGATTAAGGCAATGTGAAAAAATTGTTTTACTAGATTTATATCAGCTCTTGAGGCCAGTTTCTGGCTCTCACAGCTACAATTCACAACGGTGAACACACTTCTGCTGGGTTTTTCATTTTTATTCTCATTAGGAGTGTTGCAAACTGTATCAACCTCATCCAATGGTGTGGTTTCTCCTTCCTCAGCTGACAAGCTGTTATCAGTACAGGAAGTGATTAAGCAGAATTTCTCCATACAGATAGAAGAAGAGTTATCAGCTTTGGCCTGTTTTCTTTCTGGAAGGTCGAAGTTAGGGGCTTACAAGAGCTGAATGATCTGAACAGAAAGGCTCTTGCTGGATGCAGAAGTGAAAAATTGCTCTAAATCTAGGAAGAAATAAAGCCTCCAGGGACAGCAATGATCTAGATGTCAGGAAATAAACATTGTGGGGAGTGGGTTGAAATGAACCTGAGCTAACTAGGAAAAAAGTGATTCAGAGGACTAGTATAATCTACTGAGATGGCCAGAATGGCACATTGGACCTTTGAACAGGAGTAACAGAGATGCACAGCCTTTCCCTCTCACAATCTTGGTATAATATGGACGGAGTGCAAGAGCCTGTGACTTTATTCTTTGAGAAATGAAAACTGTAACCATCACAGGTCCTATATGGTTGTTCCTCTCCACATACCTGCAATCATGTGGTGGTAGAGAACAAGGCCACACCCACTAGCTTTGCCCCATAGGAGCCAACTCCTAGGGGCCAAGGTCCCTTTGCCCCCTAATAAAATATTTAAGGGGGTCGGGGGCACCCAAGCTGATGGGCATTGCCATTCAAATGGTCTGTGTGTGCCCATGTCATGTTATTGATTATGTGGAGTGGAGCTTACCTGCTCCCCCCCATATTTTATTCAGGTTGGCACCTCTGCTCTGCCCCCTCTGTGTCATCCCCACCACCATTGTCTATGTGTTGGGAGGGGGGAGTTTGCTGTATGCACTTAGGCTTTCCCCGTGACTGGGAATCCTGATCATGCAGGGATCCCAGCTTCAGGGAGATGGTATGTACATACAATAAGCTCTTCGTTGCAGACATTCCCTACACACCCACAATGTATGGGCAGCATTAGGGTGGGGTCAGTGAGGAACAGAAAGAACATATGTCACAATTGCCTGGGGGGAATGCCCATATAAGGTTATAATACCCAAGGAAGAGATGTTTAGGCAAAAAAAAATATTTAGAGCTAATGGAAGAAGCAGAGACTGAACATTAGTTCCAAATAAAACTTCTGCCTAAACCTCTCTCTCTTGTGAGGTTCTTCTAATTAATAACTGTTGAAGGAATTAACAATTTTAACCGATATTTTCCATGATTTGTTAATAAGGACAAAACTGTACATCCTGATATTATAAATGATTTGCTTATAATCATTGTTTATAAAACTATAATATATAATTTGTTTATAGTTGCAGTTGGGTTAGCATGTACGCAGCCTATATGGCAGCAGGGGATTGTCACCTCACACTTTCCAATGTAATTTTCCATCACTTTTCTCATAGGACCTTTTGTAAAGTGATAAAAGTGATAGGATAATTGTACCCTGAAAATATGGATAGCAACCAAATTTTGTGTGAATAAACATCCCACCTGAAAGCACCCTAAGAATAAAAGCCCTAATGGTTAAAAGCGACACCGAGGGTAAAAATTGAAAAGCAAAATCTGAAAAAATGTTCAAACATTTAAATTCAAATCCTGACTTTTTGCTGAAATTTGAATTGGTGCAAAATACTTTCAAATCTTCACTCCTCTCACATTCTCAGCCTGCCACTTTGGTCATGTAAATTGGAGTTTACTCATCCACCATCCCCAGTGGGGAATTTGTGGTCCTCCAGATACTGGTGAAGTCCAAGCCCCATCATCTCCAGAATAGCCAACGGTCAGGGATGATGGGAACTGTAGTCCAACCAACATCTTAAGAAGTACAGGTTTCCCATTCCTACCTGATCTTAGAACACAAATACGTTCCTCACTTTTGAAGGCCAATGCTTTTGAGGGCAGACTCTAGTCCAAATCGATTTTTAGCAAGTTTTGACAGAATGCCATTTAATTCAAGAAGCATTAATTTTAACCATTTATCTCACATAGTCCCTGTTTGAAGAAAAAAAAGAGAGAGAAACATAAAGCTAATTACTCTATTATGTATTATGAGGTCTGGGTGTGTAAAACTTTCACACCAGAAGTGTCTTATTTTGCTAACTGCTTGAACATTAAACTTGAACAGAAAGGAATTGTTCCCATGACTCATATTTTTCATCATTTGGTCATTAAATTGTGATGGATATAAACCTATAAAGTACCTAAACTGAACCTTTTAACAATCCATGAGCAATACTATCATTTTTTTAATAGAACTCGCTGACCGTGCCTTTCTCAGATGCCATTTGTCACTTTCAGTGGGCAATAATCAATAACTTGGCTTTGAAATAAATAATATAGCAGTCGCGATATATTATCTTTCAGGCTGGCCTTATACTAACCACAACACAGGGTCTGGGAAGATGAGAAGTTTAGGTAAATGTTAAAAATGGAATGACACTGAGAAGAAGAGCTAAATGAATGAGTGGACAAAGCATAATCCTTTCTTATCCTAATCCTTTCTTCCCACTTTTGTCCCATTTTGTCATGTCATTGAGCATGTTGCATGCTCCTTGTGGTGGTTGGAAAGTTTGCATCGTATTCACGTTTTTCAGTTAGGTCATACATTTACCCAAATAGTTGGTGCAGGTTCCAGAATGTCTGAGCGACTTCAGATTATCTAATCTCCACTTATCTATAGTTGTGCTAGATGATCTTTGTGGTCCCTTCCAACTCTACAATTCTATGATTCTATTAATGACGCTCCCCGCATCAGTCTCCCCACTCAAGTGAAACAAAGGCATTTACATCCTCCTCCACCATTCTGCCTCACATTCTTTGTACTTCTCTCTTTAGAACAAAAGTGGGGTTTCAGGTCCTAGCGCCCAATGAAATATGGGCATGTTTAAGAGGATGTGTTCAGTGTAGAAGAGGTTGACTCAGTGCAAACAGGAATTAAGCAGGCAAAACAAACAGTCTTGAATTATTGAGGGGATGTTTACTCAGTTCTTGCATGGGTGACATAGGAGGTACTGCCAGGCACACCAATGCCCACTGGCACTGTGTTGGAGATCCTACTACACACATGACAACTAATCCTGGCAACCATCAAGTTCCAAACTAATGCTGTGTTAGGTGTAATTTCTCTACGCTGGACTCTGGTTTCCAAATATTTTAGATATACAGTGGTACCTTGGGTTAAGAACTTAATTCATTCTGGAGGTCCATTCTTAACCTGAAACTGTTCTTAACCTGAGGTACCACTTTAGCTAATGGGGCCTCCTGCTGCCGCAGCTCCACCGGAGCACGATTTCTGTTCTCGTCCTGAAGCAAAGTTCTTAACCCGAGGTACTATTTCTGGGTTAGCAGAGTCTGTAACCTGAAGCATCTGTAACCTGAAGTGTCTGTAACCCAAGGTACCACTGTAATATGTTAGATACAGCAGCTTGTGTAAAACAACTTCTCAGTCAAGTGACAACATTGTTGTGGCTGTGATATAGCAAGTGTTCTTTCTGCCTGCCAATCAGAAAAGTTTGTAAACAGTCATCATATTGATTAGAATATACAGAATTCATTAAACTGTGTAGACAAGCTCACAGAGTTAAGTTGCTTGGTGGAAAACGCAAAGTCATTGTAAGGCTGCCTCTGATTTGGTTCACAAGAGATAGTGAACCAGTGAAGATCTAGAAGACTGGAGCTTTCTGCACTGTTTGTTGAATTCAGTACTTCACTCAGTAGATGCAAGTACTCTGTTACTTCAACAAATATCACAAAACAGCTTTAAAGCATTGCTAGACCATCAAAGATCTTGGATGTGATCTTTATCACCGAATGTCACCATCTCTATTGCCACATGAAGCACAGTCAATAGCCTTGTTATATAGGAGTGGGGAAAGGATATCCTTGCTGTTACTTGCAACTTTGGTAAAAATGGCTGGTTAAGTGATCCTGGGCTGGTGAAGTTGTACACAGTCTCTTCTTCAGAAAACTCTACTAGCACCCTGGATCAAACTATTTAGTTTTGGTAAGCCAAAGAGAAGCACTACACTCTCACATGTGAAACTTCAGTAATTTCAATTCTGGGTGTTTCAAATTCACTGTGGGTCCACTGTGTAAGTCAAGGTCAATGTCACCATGCGTAAATAGAACTCTTGTTTATTCAAACTTCTGATTATTGTTTTTCTAACCTCCCGCAGGCAATTCAGATAAGTAAAGCTGTACTATGTTTAATATTTATAAGGCTGCAGGAGAACAGTGGGGAACCCTTAATTACAATGGAAATGGAGATTATGTACTTAAATATACTGGAGAAAGGCTTGAATCACAGCAACATTTATTATAAATAACATCCCCCTATACAAGTCTAAAAATAATCTCCTTAATGCTCGTGTGTGTGTGCATGTGTTTGATATTAAAAATGACTGATTTAAAGGAATGTGCTTCACCTTCTTTGCCAAGTAAGAAGGTTTGGTTCCAGTATGCTCAGGCTTAAATGCTGCCAGTATTTCATGTTCAGATAGTCATAAAGTTAAAGGTTAATAGGCTGTACAAATGACAGAGTTTAAAGGGGAAAATGAGCACCGGGAAGATCTCTAGTACTTAGGCAACATTTTAAAAATGAAGCTTAGCTTCATTGTAATATCTTCTCTCATGATGTTGATCATTAGTGAGAATAATTCTATTTGCATAAGCAATTTCTTTGCCTATAGCCCATCTCCGCTTATTTTGAGGGTAATTGTGACACATACTGACTCATAAGCCTTTGACACACACCGACTCATAATCGTGCTCAGTGACATAACAATCTGCTGCCCTGGAAAATGTAACAGTGCAAATGTAAAATGGTGGCCTCTGTGCAATGATGAAGGGCAAGTAGATGTTGTAAATGGAGGAATCTTTTCATACTAGAAAATGAGACTGGCATGGAGAAAAGAATAAGAAAAAAACCAGTACAGGCTAAAACCATGTGCAGTGAGATCCTAAGCAAGCCTACTCTGAAGTAAGCCCCACTGAGTTCAATTAAATATATTCCATTGTTAACATGCATAGAACTGTAGCCTTCTTTAACAGTCTAAGATTTGATTAGAGGCTTTCAGCTGCTGTGATTTTAATAAATAATTGTGATCTAAACTAAGTTACAGTTAGTTGCAATCTGTGTTATCTTGGAATGCAGGGGCAGATGGGGCTCATCAACCTGGCAAGGTAGCCCATCTAGGAAAAAGGAAACTTCGATCCTAAACATCTGCTGTCTTGCAGTTAAACTAATTTGTGAGAAATCCTTTGGGAGTAAACCCTGAGGAACAATTTGTACCCGCTGCTTTGTGAAATATCTCCCAGAGAAGAAGAGGCTAAGGATTAAACCCTACACAAATCCAGAGTGGAATCCCTAAGGCAGTTGGATGGTGTCTTGTATGCCTCCTTCTGCCAACTCCTGCAGCCCAGCTGGCGCCAGATGTATTGCTTTGCTTTGGACCACACCAAGAGGGGAGTCTTGTCATCTGGGCAGCCCAGGATCTCCATACATACTGCCCAGGCTTGCACCCTGGGGAGGTCACTGCAAATACAGCAAAAACTATGTGGGAGGTACCAGCTACAAGTTATAAGTTCAACCTGATTGGCGTAAGGTACAAGTACTACAGGTTGTCTTCACTGGTGGGAGAGATCATTGTGTCTCACTGGTCAGCTATGGCTTAAGCGGGGCAGCCCTTGGTCAACCCATAGCAGTGACCAGAAGAATGACCACTGGGAAGAGCACAGAGAGAAGATATGTCATGGTGCATCTGCAGCAGGACAACCAGAGACCTTCATCTGTCCCAGCTGGAACCAAACATGTCTATTCCACATCAGTCTCTGAAGCCACAGCAGGTACTGCAACCTTCCAACAGTTTGACTTCACACCCAAAGGTGCACACTTTCATTGTCTCCCGAGGCAGACAGATGCCAACAACAAGTATACTAATTCAAGAAATAGGATGCAACATAGTTTTAATGGGAAATCCCTGTTTGTTTCTTAATTCTGCCCTTAGGATCCTTTTCTTAATTTGTATGGTACCAGTCTGGACATTTTCATGGTGCTTGAAATCACTGGAAATGTTCCAACACCAGAGTAGCTAACCTGTGGCCCTCCAAATGTTGTTAGACCCTCACTTCCATCAACCCCAGTCAAAATGGCCAATGATCAGAAATAATGGGAGTTGTAGTCCAGGGACAACTGGAGGATCAAAGGTTAGTCACCACACTGGTTAACCACACCCTCTCTTGCTTTGTAGTCTTGAACGGATTTGTCATTGCAGGGAACTTTATGGGGCGGGGAAGAGCAGAAACTTGGGACATCTCAGCACACTCACCAAACTATTCCCATGATTCTTTTTGGAAGCTGTAACAATTAAAACAATGGTTTGTTTCTGGTAAAGGATAGAGACGGCCCCTTTGATACTTGAGCATGATAAGTACTTAACTGGGTTGTCCCAAACTAGTTGCTTATTTTACCTTTCCAAGATTTAATTGACGTAGCTGGAAGTCAGGATCAGAGTGAAGAATAAGGCAATCTGTGGCAATTTCCAACTATTCAGGGCCTTGAATGCACTGTCAGGAAAAGTGTACCCAAGAAGCCCACACAATTTTGGAGTTTCCACAATTGTGTCAATTCCTGAAACTAACTTAAAAGGTTGCACCGGAGTTCTCTTTAAGCGAGCGGAACAGATCAATCTTATCACCATCTCTATGAATTTTAAATAATAGCCACTTTTCTTTTCTTCCTTGGCTAACTGTTGCATGTTCAGAAGCTTTCCTTTTACAACGTCATATTTCTTCCTTCTTTAATAGAAATTACTTTAATGGACAAGATGATGTTAAAATTTTGATTTAAATGTACTTGGGCACAGTGGGAACATCAGTATTTTTATATTTAGCCTTCAAAAGCTCAAGAAATTGTGTTCTCATTCTTGGCAGGAGCAACTTTGCCCCACCTCTCCTAGAAGAAAGAGACTCAGGTTGATTCCTTCTTTTGAGAGGGGGATAAGTAGATCACATGTGGCCAGAGTGACCAATGAGCAGGGAGGGTTAGCCAGCTATTTAAGGCTGACTCCATCCCTCTTCACCTGGTCATCCTCACAGGCTTGGTTCCCTTAGGGTCAGGCCTGCAGGACCTGGGTACACCGGCTAAGCTTCATTTACCCAAGGCTCACTTAACAAAGACAGGAAGTTTTCTTCCAGTCCTCAGCTGGGAGGCAAATCACCTGCTGGTTTACTTGGCCAGGGGGAGGGATACTTCACTCTCATGTTTCCATTGATTCCCCCTGCCTGCACATATTTATTTGGCTAATTGCAGATCCTCCAATTTGTTTTGTATCATTATCATTATTTATATAATGATTTTTTCCCTGACAGGAACTCAAGACAGCTTACAGATAAAATAAGGACAGTTAAAAACATAGATATAGTAATAATTAATTAATATACCCTTGTTGCCACATAAAAAGTTGTCCTGAGTCTTCTTTCTAGGTATGGGGGCAACATATCTATGTATATGATCCAACAGGAAAGGGAAAATCTGGTTGCCATATTTACTTCATGTGCCATCAGGAAAATATGATGTTGGCACAGGCAGCTATGTTGCTGCTTAACTGCAGTTTATATCCAAGTGCACTTACATTTACCATTGATTTAAATGGAGGGCTAGTTGATCCATCTCTCCAGCCTTCAACCCAGGTAGCTATATAGAGGTATGATATTGTCTGTCATGTTTTTGACCTTGAGAGAATAGACATAAACATATCTGAGCTACCAGTAATAGTTGGAGAATGTTGGTTGTCATGGGGGTGACTTACTCCTGATTTGCCATAATGTCAATGTGCCAATTAAATATGAATTAAGATGATGTCGCCTAGCATCCCTGGACATCTTTGCAACTCATTAGTGTTGCAGCTTTTTCAAAAAATAAGAAACTAACATTCTAAATATGTTCTTTTTTTCAAAAAGAGGCTATAACTGAAAGTTGAATGAGAAGAATGCTTTACTCTTTTATTAGTTCACTTTCTGCTATATATCTAGTCTGTATGCCAAGAAAAGTATAATCAAATGGCAAGTTATTGGTTTTTCAATAACACAGTTTTAAAAAGAGAATAAAATAGCATATCTTACCTGGCAGTATTTATGAAACAATTAATATTGCTAGTGTATTTTCCACTTCCTCAATATTTCATATGCCGTATCAGTTTTTATAAACCTCAAAAGCAGGCATAGGCAAACTCCAGCCCTCCAGATATTTGAGACTACAATTCCCATCATCCCTGACCACTGGTCCTGTTAACTAGGGAAGATGGGAATTGTAGTCCCAAACATCTGGAGGGCCAGAGTTTACCTATGCCTGCTCAAAAGACTACAAGAAAGACTAATCTGAGAACTAACAAGACAGTGAGGCAACACTTTGGGGCAGAAATACAGCATTCATGTTGTCTTATCCAATTCTCTTACAAAATAAAATGAAGTTGTAATTCTATTGAACTTTTGGGAGATGTTTCTGAAGGCACAATTGAACACAATATCTTGTTTTTAACTCTGTAGTCTTAAAATTTATACCCATATCTGTTAAGCTTAATTCCATTCCTGTTGAGATTTATAATCCTGACATATTTCTAATTCTTTGGTTTTGCCCCCAAATGACAGAAACAGTATAATGCTCTCTTGCACATAGAGAAACACATGGTGGACATGATACTGCAGCTCATAATATATGGATATTTTATTGTGGTCACCAGCCAAAAATCAACAACAACAATAAAATTATGTTTCCCCTATATTGCATTCTAACCTGACATCCATATATGTAGGATAATGAAATTACTGTGGAGTGTGAGGAGAAGGCCTGTATTGCGTAAAGAGTTTACTTTGGTCTGGAGGTTTTTGCTTATTCCCTTTGATGTATCTCAGAAATCTTCCAAGTAAACCAGCCAAAGGACTGTTCTGGGATTAGTAGAGTGACCTGGTCGCTGTCCATGGTACTGAAAACCAAAGCTAAGTCATTCTTGTTTGTTTTATTGTGAAGTAGGTGCTCTTTCATAGCCTCCCTTGCAACCTCATTTAGCCAAGACTGATGAGGCAACAGCACACTGTAAATGTTACTGCAAGAAGCTATTCAGTTCAGTTTGTTTCTCTGGAGTCTGTATGGTGGCGATTGCACACTACTTGTATCTTCACTTTATTTCACCTGCACATACATAACGGTAGTATTTCGGATTTGCAAATCGAAGCCTTGATGCAACTGATTCCATTTATCCAGGGGCATCCTTTAATCTTAAATTCAGCAGCTCCTTTGGCATTACTAAGGTATGTGATATAAATCAGATATGAGAGCCCTTTTAAGAAACTGATTTTTGGCTCAATGGACCGTAACCACTTTGAAATCAATGATTATTTAGGAACTCTTAAAACTGTAGATAATTTAGCTGCTGCACACACACGTATTGGTTCTATTTTCTTCTTATTGGTTTACATGTGAATAATCTATATTTGTCTGGGTCTCTCCTACACAGGTGGTTGAGTATGGATTATAGCAATTCTCCTTTTTTAATACACCAGGCAGAGCTGTAAAAGATTTCAGCACCATCCCCACCCTTAGAAAGAGACTTAAAGGGCAAAGTTGGAGAGTTTGGTGTTGCAGTTCTACTCAATTTCAGTGGAATGCGAGGAGGTTAAGCATCATGTGAAAGGGCCCTGGCATTTTGCAACCTAATAATTATCATATATTATTTTTCTCTTCACATCTCTAGAAGCCTTGTGACTATGTTTGTTTCTTGACACATGGTATCAAGCTTTCTAGCTCAGGATCAGATAGCTGCTCTAGAATTTGAAGGAGATCCACTTTTAAACTTAAAAGTGCCTCTAGTTCTTGTTGCTATAGACCCTATAATATAGAGCAGTAGGTGGGTTGTACTTCCTCATGGAAAGCCCAGCTGAGGGTGGTGGTATCACATTTCAGTAGTGGGTAGGGCCAAAAGCAACACTGGACAGAGTATCAATTGTTACTCTTACTTTTGTACAGCAGGCTACATTTCTATACACAAACACAAAAAGCCCATGGAGAAGGTATAGAAGAGGACTAGTGAGAGGTGTGACCTGGGTGCATATGGCTAGGAAAGAGTTCTGAGAGTCAGACGGAGGAGGACGGAGGACCACATTTGACCCCCAGTCTTGTGGTTCCCCATCCCTGCTATAGAGTCAAAACTTGTAAGAGTGGGAAACTTCAATTAAAATATTTGAAAACAAGGAGATATGTGTAGGGCTTCCAGTGGGCAGGGAACAGATTTAATAAAAATTAATTTTATAATTTCCCATGAATAATATTACACATTTCCAAAGTGTTATATCTGGACTTTACATAGGACTGTGGCTTCCATGGAAATGGGGTCTCCAATATGGCACCCTCAGGTTCCCTGCCCCTGTCTTTTTATTTTTTCATTTTAGTTTTGTTTAAATGATGTTGTTCAGGTGGGAGGAAATCTCGGGGGGGGGGGGTTGCAAGTGTTGTCAGGTATTTTGGGCTATGTTTTATTTGGTTTTAGGAATGTATGTGTATGTGTTTTGCCTGTTCGAGGAGACTGGTGAGGGGCTGAGTGTCATCAGTTTTTCTTCTGTGAAATTGGTTCTTTGTGGTGCCCACAACAGTTTGTTTTTTTTAGATTTCCAGGTGTACCCTCAAGCCAAAAAGATTATGGACTTCTGACATAACGCATTACAGCTGGGACCATAAACCATACTTCTACTATTATAATCTCAGGAAACCATAGGTAGAGTATTAATATGGAATGAGTACCTTCTAATTATGTTGGTAACAATCTTTGGTCCTTCTGTTCAAACTTACTGGAGAACCTACTGGTTGGGGTTAACCTACAATTACCTCCTTCCATAAGGTAGGGTCTGCTCTATCCCTCCTTCTCTGAAGATAGAATGATAGAAACAAGGAACAGAGTCTTTTGGGAGGTGACACCTTCATTATGCCCTCCAAGCCTTCTTGGTATCATCACTTAATATCCCCACTTGGCCACCTAATGACAGGCACACAGACCAGTTTCAGACACAGCCATAGAGAAACCCTTTCAGACACAGAGAAATCCTTTCCCAGTACAGTAAAGGGAGCAGTCAACACTAAATCAGCAGAAGAAACTATCCCAAACAGTGCATTTACACAATTGATCCTTGTGAACATTATCCAATTAATTATGGGTTGTAAAATAGTAATAAAATAATTCTTGTTTAAATCCAATGTTATGTGCAGTTGTACAAACACTAATTAGGGAACAAATATTATTGATGCATGTGAAAGCTTAAAGGAAATTTTTAAAATGCAGATTCAATCTGTTGCTGTTCTGTCACTTTCAACACACCATTGTGGAGTGGGAGAGCCATTCTGTAACAAAGGCAATTTCCTGGATTTGTGCAGTGCAGCATAATTCAGCCAAACGTAATCATCCCATCCCATCCTTGAAATGGGAGTTAGTTGCAATGATTTTAAAATGCCATTCATTTTAAAGGGACATTAAATCTGACGTGTGTTCTATTCTAAGGTTGGGAAACCCATAGGCCCTCCAGATATTTCTGGGCTCCAATTCCCATCAGACCCAGCCAGGAAGGCCAGTGGTCATGGGTGACCACCATCTGAAGGACCACAAGATCTCTGCCCATGTTCTGTGTCCTTCCATGGGAGCACCTGGGGGCTAGGAGCTCACATAGCCTGTCCACTGAAGAGCTGAGAAGGAGAGTGGCTGCTGAATCCTCTCCCTCCCATTCCAAATAAAGGTGAGATGACTTGCTACATGCCTGGAAGAAGAAGGGGATAATGGAGAGGGCTCTACAATGTGTTATGAGAATCCTGTCCACATATGCAGCTCTGCACTGGCCTCCCACAGGAGGGGTGGATAAAGTAATTTGCCCTGACAAAATGTAGTTGCTAGCTAAGCTCAATTCAAATCCAAGGAATTCAACCTGAAATCCTCAATCCACTTGCCTGAGAGTAAGACACACTCTGTGACTTGCTCCTGAATAAACCTGCCTAGAATTGACGTCTTGGTCATGATTAACTTTTGGTGGATTGTGCCCTACATGAGTAACAGTTACCAAGGAATTAGGAGTAGGAGAAGATATGTATATATGCAGTAGTAATTGGGTTTTTTACTCCAGGCATCATGGGAAATATTATTTTCTTTATTCCTTTTATTTATAAAGCATTAATTGGTATTGAATTCATTTGATAAAGCCACATGCCACACTTCAGATCTCGCAGACGTCATACAGATGAGCAAGACTCTTCCACTGTAAAATAGATGTATGACTTTTCTCTAATCTCCTTTACTGGTACAGCCATCTAATGCACACAACTTGGCAATACAAGGTACCTCAGCAATATTTATTGCAGCATTCTGTGTAAGTAGTCCTCATTCTGGTGTCTTCTATTACTCACTGTGTTCTAAAAAAAAGTTATCTCAATTGAAAAATATATGATCAATGTTATTAGTGTAATCCATTCATAGCTTTATAGACCCCAAGTCTTTCAGGGAGTGTCATAAATCTTCAGGATGACCCTGGTAGGCAGGAGTTTGCTTCACAGCTGTGATTCAATGGATGGCTTTAAAAAATCACAGTGCTAGACAGCTCCCTGTTAGATGAGAAAATCTGGAGACATTTGATCCAGCTCAATTCAACAACCCTAAATCCAAATCATGAAAATACAGAACCAATTACTTCACTCGGTTTTTGCCAAATATGCACTGCTTTGCAATGCTTAGTATTGAGTTACATGTGTAAACAACTGTGGATTTCTTATACCCACAATAAACTCTTTTGGTAATAGCATGAAATGAAACATTCAGATCCGGATATCACTTAAATCGAATGAGTTAGGAGAAATTTAACTGTATGAATGAGTGCATATATATTTGTTACCAGTCCTGAGTGGCACTGGATTAATATGCATCTGGCTTTCTTTTCAAACACAGAATTTAAACCATCTAACTGCTATTGCACACACTCAAATGAGCATGATTGCATGTGTGGATTTCTCACAGTTTTTAAATATATCTCTGCCCCTTCTTTTGGCTTTTCAACTTCACCTTGACACCACTTTTCTGGGTTTAATACCTCCTCTTCAGCCACCTCACCCAAGGTATGCTGTGAAGGTCCACAAAGCCACTACTTTGGTGACACTAAACAGGTATGGATCTGATCTGTGCCTGAATGGGAATCACCTGTATGGCACCTTGGGATCCATGGCGGAAGAAAGATGGTATAGAAAGGGAAGACAGTTAATAAAAGTATTCTGTTAATGATATTCTGCTGTGTGTTGTTTGGCTTGCTTACTTGAATCACCTAGATTGCTTTGTGCAACAATCTATAATGCAACTTGATGTCTTTTTTTATTCAAACAGCAATCCCATCACATACTGCTTTTGACAGTACCTTCAGCGGCATGTGAGGGGACACTGGGGAACATACCCCACCCAAAACAAGTCCTCTTGGGTATATAAAATTTAGTTCTGCAAGGTTTGAGGTGGGTGAGTGGGATGATGGTTACAGGGCACGATTGTTGTTTTCCTGCCAGGGACTTTGTACATTTCCCAACAGCATAAAAAGTAGGAAAATCAATAGCTGAAGCTTTCCATCACAGCATCTTCAAGCTGGGAAAAGTTTCCCCGTGGTGAATTTCCATCATGAAGCTGTTAAAGGCAAACATTCACAACTTGTATAAAATAGATTAGGAAGGCTTCCCATAATTTCCTTCTGTTCAGAGGGGAAAGTGGCTTGCATTTTTAGCAGCACCTGGAGAGTATGTAAGTAAATAAAAAATGGACTGGATAAAATATTAAACTAGAATTTTAAATAACACTGGAATCCTAAACATACTTACTAAGAAATCTAAATTATTTAAACAAATGTAAATTATTCCTGAGTGGATATATTTGGGATTGGATTGGAGCATTCATGTGAAATATGTATATGAAGCCTGGGGTCTTATCATTTGCCTCCCCCCACAAAATAGTAAAGTTTGCAAGGGCCACCATTTCCCAGTTAACTATATATGCTGTATATATAGTAACATTTTAACTTGCAGTATGTCAGTCCTCTCATTTTGTTAACCTTCTGTTGTACAGGGATTCTGTACAGTAGTAGCAGCTTTGCTTGAAAATGTCTACATTTTAGGGTCCAGCAACTCACTACTAGAGCTTTTAGGAATTCACTGTTTAGTATATTTGAATGGACTTATGACATCCATTTTTAAAGTAAAAGCAAACAGCTTGCACTGACCAGATAGGAATAATCTGCAGACAAACATGTGGAGAAACAATGTACCTCTGTCCTTTTCTCCTCTCTTTCCACAAAACAAAACCAACCTACCATCCACAAAACTTGCGCACTTAAATTTCACATATCCAAGGGGGGTTTAGGGAACATATCCCACAATCAATGTTCCAAGACATGCCTCTGAAGGTACATTCAAAAGCATCATGTGATGGGACTGCTGTTCAAAGAGGAAGAAAGTGTCAACGCTTTCACTGGGCATGCCCAAGGCCACCTATTTGGGTAAACATCAGGCCTGACTCTACCCTTATGTCAAGGAGTCATGGGGAACCAGTGGAGCTCCAGGTATTGTTGCACTACAACTCCTATCTTCCTTTCTGGATGGGGTTGATGGAAGCTGGAGTCCATCAACAGCTGGGAAACCACAGCTTTCCCATCCCTCAACCTGAGGCAGATTATTCTGGGTGTCATGAAGGGTCAGCAGTTTGTTAGTCATTCCATTTATTATTGTTGATCCTTTACTCCCAAGGAGAAGCACTTGTGGGATTTTTTTTATTTTTTGGCCAGAGGTGGCAAACAATTCAGCTAGACCTGGGTACTAATTTGCTCCTTGACTAGGGGTGCCATTTGCTGTTCTGTCTCAGGCAGCCCCAACACACTTAAAGTCTTTTATTCTGTTCATTTATTTACTGCATTTATATGCACCTCCTTTCTGCCACTAGACTCAAACCTAGCTTGGGGCCTTCTCTAGATGTTCCTTCCATTGCACATTTATGATGGTTTGTGCTCATGATGTGGTATTTGCATTCCACCACAATGGTCCCCTTATGAAATGATGGCATAAAGTTCACTGGTTCTGGTTTCTCCATCAAAGTAGTGATTTGGAACCAGACCAGGCCTTGATTTTAATAATAATAATAATAATAATAATAATAATAATAATAATGTTTTATGTTCTTAACAATTGCCAAATATCGCCCATACTTCCCCCCCCAAAAAAATCATTACATGCTAATCAAAACAAAATGAAAACACTCTCCCATCTAATGTGCCTTTAAAGCAAGATAAAAGAGAAGGTTTCACAGTTCACTTTTAAATTAGAGAAATACCATCCTGTCTGAGAGTTTGTAAACTGTGGTGTGTCCTCTGACTTTGGAAAGCCACCCAAGGCAGCTGATCTACTTGAATAGAAGTCTCCTTTGTCTCATTGGTTTCACTGAAATCCAAGAGCCTCAGCTTAAGTGGGTTGTGGATCTGGCTGGCAGCACTGGCTGGTCTATCTTCTCCTCCACCTCAGGCACTCTCCTTAAAGTTGCATAGATACTCAAGATCACTTAACAGCCTTTAACCATCTTGCAGTTGTTACAAATAAGTCAGTTGAAGTATGGTAAAGAGGTAGGTTTTTCTTCCCATGCTTTCACTGGCAATATAAAGTGGAAATTAAATATATGCTGGTAAACGCAAATATATAACCAAGGAGGCCTGTTATTCTGGAATAACTATCACTGGGCACAAGGGATGGGACATAGGTGTGCAGCATTAAATGGATTCCTCTGCATGTGAATGCATACTATGTGTCAAAATATGGGACTGAATGCCTCCAGCTTATTTGCAAAGGTGCCTTTGGTCCCTCTGGCATGACACTGTCCTTCTTGTTTTCCTGAGTGCTGAAACCTTCTAGCGATGGTGCCACACTAGAGGGCAAAGGGGGAGCTGTGCAAGTAAGTTGGGGGAAAGTGGAAGAGGTGCAAAATATTGGGATACCTTAACTTAGAATTCAAGTCATCGTGTTTACCTATATACAAATCTATGCAACTTGAACAAATCTAGTAATTGACTCAACCCATTTGAAACTTCTGCAATCAGGTTCCAGCTCTTACTGAGGGGAATGGACCCTGCCTGGAGACTTACAGTCCAAAAAGGCAGCACACAAAGGAGAAAGTCCAAAATGATCATGGAAACAGAGCAACTCCCACATGAGGAAAGGTTCAGAGAAAAGACAAGTGAGATGATGCATGACAGAGATGTTTAAAATTAAGCCTGGTATGCAGAAAGCAGAGACAGGAAAGTTTTTCTTCCTCTCTCATAACACTAGAAATTGGGGACATCCAATGAAGCTGAATGTTGGAAGACAAAGGTGTGGGGGGGTACTTCTTCACATAGTCAAGCTGTGGAATTTGTTCCCAGAAGAGGTAGCGATGGCAACCAACTTGGGTGTCTTTAAAGGGGCTTAGACAAATCCATGGAGGATAAGGCTATCATTGGCTATTAACCATGATGGCTATGTTCTACGTCTGGATAGTCAGATATTCAGAGAATACCAGTTGCTGGAAACCACAGGAGTGAAGAGGGTTATTGCACTATGGTCTTGCTTGCATGCTTTCCACAGGCTTCCGGTTGGCAGCTGTGAGGACAGGATAGTGGACTAGATGGGTCACTGGCCTGATTCAGAAGGCTTCTCTTAGGTTCTCATGGGGAGAGAAAGGACACAGCAGAAAAGTACAGAAAGGAATATATACTGCACACTGTGTGGTAAATAATCCCAGTTCACTTAGTTATATTGTAAAATATGTAACCACGTGTTTTCAGTGCTTCCTTCCCCAATACACAGAGAGAGAGAGCTAAAAGAAATTAATAGTTTGTTTGGTGTACATTGTTAAACTTGCCGTGTATTTCAGACTGGCAAAAATTGCTCTGTTCCTCCTG